GTTTAGCCATCCCTATTTTTTATCCATTTTTGTAGTCTCGCTCTAAGTTAGAAATGAGAGTCGCTTGGCCATAGCGTGGAATTTGGATAAATGGATTGTGGGTCTTATGCTATGAAGGGCTCAGCATGCCGGTCAGACATTATCACATCCGGATACTGACAACTTATAGAACTAGATGGAGCTTTCTCTGGTCTCAGTTTAGCTGAAGCCTCTATGTAGGCAAGCCGAACGAACTTCAGACCTTCCACTCCTTTCTACTACTCCACTCGCTCCCATAAAATGAAAAAGTTTAGAATCGGGTTCAGCTCAGCAAGTCTAAGCCTTCTTTCCTTCAGTTGTAGTCGTAGAGCGAAGAAATAGGAACGCAGGCCTATCGCCATTTCGCTATCGCTTAAGGTACCTTTGCTTATTCTTATTCTCTTAGCTTAGTCTATTAGAGCAAGAATTAGTCGCATATCAACGTTTATAGAATGGAATAAACTCGCATATCCGATGTAAGACTTTGATTACACGAAGATTCTAGAAAGACACCGGGGGAACACCTATTATTTCATAACCTGCATTGGTGCGGTAGAGCGGCACCTGATATGCTCGATCCATAGAGAAAGAGGGAGTACCAAGTTGTATTCAGGAGTAGAATATTTTCACCTATCCATCAATCAGTCATCCCATTTCCTTCCTGTGTGACACCGTGTGCTTTGGTCTAATAGCTTCACCTCCTTCGTTCCATAATAAAAAAACAGAGCCTTGTTGGCAAACTACAATCACTTTGGATGGTCTGCCTCTCATCCGCTGGCTTTTCTCGCTTCAATCCCAGTGGCCTGGTGTAGGCGTCCTGGCTCTTCCTTTCGCTTTGGCTCTCTTCTCCTTCCTTGGGAATTTCTTTTCTTTCTTTTTACGGGTCGTAGCGGTTCTTCCATGTAAACTTAGTTGCAAAGCATCCTAGAGTTGATTGGATTTTTCCAGTACTCTCATACTAGGCTAGGCTTTTGCTTCTACTGGGATTTTTAGATCAATTGCTATTTAATAGGGTGGACATGAAGGCCTTGTTCTCTTTTCGACGGTAACTCGATAAAAAAGAAGCTAAGAGAGATGTGGCAAAGAAGGAATTGATAGAGGTGCGCCGAGAAGTTCCATACCCTCTTGATAGAGTAAATTACCTTGCTTGTACTTACTTAAGTAAAGATTGGCTTGGTGTTCATTCTGCCCACGGAGCGGTACAACTAGCAGCCCCCTTACTAGGAAGGAAAAAGGCTAGCGCGCTAGCTAGCTACTTATAGTTCTAGCCCCTACTTCATTTTTGGAATTTTTGAAGAAGCCCGCTGAAAATGAAAAAGAGAAGCGCGCAACGGCTGATGAAAAGCCGGCCACTTTTTAGTAGTAGGTTTTGGCTTGCCCCTTTCTTAGTAAGATAGGTGCTTAACGCCCTATACAAGGTGCTTGCTGCTAGCCCTTTAATCTTAAGTAAAGTGAAGTAAAAGCAATGAAAGCCCAACCTCTTTGTTTGAAGCTTTGCCAGGCATATTCATATGTTGAAGCTTTGTTTCCCCTAATTCTAAAACACAACAATCAATAGACTTTTTTCTATACTATAGGAAAAAGCTTCTCTTTGATAGCGGTCATAGGGGAGTTCAGAAAGATCTGATCGTAGATAGAAACTTAAACATGAAGGGGGTAGGGGCGGATGTAGCCAAGTGGATCAAGGCAGTGGATTGTGAATCCACCACGCGCGGGTTCAATCCCCGTCGTTCGCCCATCAACAAATGGACCATTTGTTGAGGTTAAAATTCTTTTTTTTTCAAGTAATCTCGAAGTTTTCACACGCATCCAAGCAATTGGTATTCGATTAAACCATAGAAAGCATAGATTCGCCTCGCCTACTTGGATTCGGCCCCTGCTTGCTGTGAAAACAAAGAATCCGGACATGTGCTGAAATGCCTTGTAAAAATGAAGACAGAAAGCGATAAGAACCAGTGACGGGAAAGCCTCCCATAAGCAAAGAAGAAAGAAAAAATATCGTTGTTAAAAAAGAAGAAAAGAAGGGTTTGGGACTCTCACCGACAACTGGTGATTATCCGATGATCCGGCAACTTTAGGGATCTCTTCAGTAGAGATTCCTTGACTGACCTTTCTTCACCACGAAATGCGGCATTGCCGAGAGAAGACGAGAAAGGGGAATAGCGTCTATTCCACCCAAAAAGAAGCTTTAAGGTTGAGTGAGTGATAAAGTCCTTTCTGTGGGAATTGAATTACCAGTCAACCGTTCATTCCATCCATGTAGGATGAAATTAGCTTCGATATTCTATTCTTTCTGGTTCTGGACCAATAGTAAAAGAGTCCGGTCCAGCTCTTAGCGCAAAGTAGCACCTGCCCTGAGGTTGGGTCAGAAATTGGGAGAGTTTGCTTTTACACGGAAACGAAGAACTTCAAGAACAAATATTGGACCGGGAAAAAAAGGGAGAAAAAGTCAAGTATAAACAAAACAACTATGGCGCGAAAAGGAAATCCAATTTCGGTAAGACTTGATCTGAATCGTAGTTCAGATTCAAGTTGGTTCAGTGAGGGCGACCGCGAAAGTCACCGAATGGGTCAGCCTTTTCCTTCAGTTTATCCCGTATTTGAAATCTAAAAAAAAGCGTGGGAGGACGTTGCGGATGTCCGCGGGGCGGACACGACTTCTTCTAAGGCTAGAAGACCACTGGAAGACACCCAGGACTAGAGCATGTCGTGAAAGAAGCACGCTGGGCGGGCGTGCTTCGACCCTGTCTCCGGGGCACAGTTGAATGTAGATATCATAAACGCGAGGTGCAGGATATCAGGCGGAGAAACCCGGGCAACCACTCCCTTATGTGCCAATCGCTAGCGCATCCAGGGCCTGGCGCCCAGCTCAGCTGGAGAGGCCTAGCCTGATCTGAAAAGTGCTAATTTGGTTCAGTTCATTCAAGAATACGCCCCCGCTCCTGGAATCAATAAGAAAAGAAGTGCTAAGTTTCAGATCAGTGAATAAACCGAAACTAAAGAAGAGAAGTTTATCGCTCGGCGCCTAAAGCGCACTATGCTCCGCTTCAATAAATGAGACTTTTCGGTGGAAGCGGTGAACCACGCGAGCTGGTTAGATGCGTGGGACAGAGGGCTCGTAGTACCTGCTAGCGCAGCTATGCAGTGAAAGGGAAAAGGAGCCTAAATCGACCCCCTTCTTTCTTTTCTTTTTTTTTTTCTTTGAAATTTGAAAAAAAGCAATAAAGGAGATTAGACTCTCGGATGAGACTAAGCTGCTACCTATCATTCCGACGCGCCCTTGGCCTATCTTGATTAAATAAAGACCAAAAACCTATCTAAAGTGGAGCCTAGTTTAAGCTGTCAAACAAATGATAGAATAGAAAAAAAGAATAAACACTGGTAGGGATATGAATGTAGTCTCGCTCAGTAAAGAGAGTTGTAGATTCATAAAACAGGAGAAGAGCCTTTACCTTTTTCTATTATTTATATTAGTAAAGTGCGCTAGCTGCAATCAAACTAAAGCAAGAAGGGATAAAGTTGACTTTTTGATTTCAGGGCCTTTAGGCTTTACTAAACTAATAAGATAGAAAAGGGGCTTTTTCATCAGGGTGGGCAGGTGCTTAACGCCCTATACAAAAGACCTTTCCTTTCAAATGACAACCGCCTCTTCCTGCTGCGAGGGCGTTGCACAAAAAAAACCAAACCGCCCCCCACCCGATTAAGTACCAGTTGCTTCGCTGGTAGGCCGACTTAGGTTAGGGGGGATTGTCCCTCAGTTCTTACCAACCTCCGATGTGTAATCAACATGTTGTTAACTAGAACTCGATCGAATAAAAATCATTGATTCCCTCTGCTGTCAATTTCTTATTCATTCGTGGCGCTCGGCCGGTGCTCCTTTCTCATCTCAAGAACAACTCTGAAAAGATAAGGGAAGACCGCCTGAGCGAACCGACCGAAGGGACTTTTTTTATCCGCGATAGCGGCTTAAAGAAAAGCCTATCACGACCTTAATGGCCTTGATCGGCGGGGAGGAGCATCTCAAAGTATAGGGCAAAAGACCAAGCGCTTTTACTTTGTCTCCCGGGATCCACCACAGGTTGGGTTTGAGAGCCGTGTGATGGGTGACTATCCCGCACGGTTCGGAGAGCACTTTTAGTCTGCGTTGGTGAATGGAAGCCCCCCTTATCAAGCAAGAAGGAAGCGGCTCTTCCCACGGCGGAGTCACCCATTGACTCTATTTATTATTATGGTAAATTAGTGTATCAAGATGTCAATCTGAGATCTTATTTCGGTTCGATACGTCCACCGACGAGACTAACCTTTGGCTTCCGTCTCGGTAGGTGTATTATTCTACATTTTCCCAAAAGAACATTCATTCATTTCTTTCTTCCCCGTCGACCACGACGACTGAAACGACGCAAGAAATACAGACGCAGAAAGGAGAAGGGCCGGTGGTGGGCATTTGGGAAAGTCGGCCCAATCGGGTGTCTTCATTCAAACGACGGTACAGAAGAAGAACGAAACGAAGTGAGAGGCCGGGAGGCAGGAAAAAAAGTCGAGTCGATCAGGCTCGACGATCAGGAGAAGCAAAACGAAATCAGGATTTGGCCGAAAAAGAAGCAACGCTATGGATACCATGACCGATCACCATCGAAAAAGAAGAATCTTTCTAAAGAACTTCGGGTCAGCGAGGCCTTCAAGCATCCGAAATACGCCGGGGTTGTAAATGACATAGCGTTCCTGATAGAAAACTCCTTCAGAAAAACAAAGTTATTCAAGTTCTTTTTTCCAAAGAAGCCCCGCTCCAACCGTCCGGCGAATCATCTACTTAAAAAGACCCTCCCCGCAGTGGTGCGCCCTTCCTTAAATTATTTGGTCATGCACTACTTATTGAATACAAAAAACAAAATCAATTTCGATCCCGTCATAGTTCTCAATCATTTCGTGGCACCGGGCGTAGCTGAACCATCTACGATGGGGAGAGCTAATGCTCAGGAAAGAAGCTTAGATAAGAGAATACGTTCTCGCATTTCTTTTTTTGTAGAAAGCTTGACCAGCGAGAAAAAGTGTTTGGCCGAAGCCAAAACCAAAAAGAGATTGAACCACTTCATTCGCCAAGCGAATGATCTTCGCTTTGCGGGAACAACAAAAACTACCATCTTGCTTTTTCCTTTCTTCGGTGCTACCTTTTTTTTTCTAAGAGATGGGCTTGGCGTATATAATAACCTTTTTTTTAAGGATGCCCGGAAAAAACTCCTAGGTAAATTAAGGATAAAATGTTGGAACTTCATGAGTAAGGAGGATAAGGTAATGGAATTGATAGAGAAATTCATAGACCTAGGTAGGATAGGAGAATTGTTAAAAGGAATAGAGATGATGATAGAGATCATACTGAGAAACAGAAGAATTCCGTACGGGTACAACTCTTATTTGAACGAAATAAAAAAAATGCGATCTTTGTTGTCTAATAGAACAAACACTAATACGTTAATTGAATCAGTCAAGATCAAATCTGTTTATCAAAGTGCTTCTCCGATTGCTCAAGACATTTCTTTTCAACCGAGAAACAAAAGAAGATCATTTCGTTCTATTTTTAATAAAATAGTGAAGGAAATTCCATTAGTAATGAAAAGGGGGGTTGAGGGGGTCCGTATATGTTGTTCAGGTCGATTAAAAGGTGCAGAAATAGCTAGAACTGAATGCGGAAAGTATGGAAAAACATCTCGTAATGTATTTAACCAGAAAATCGATTATGCTTCTGCGGAAGTATCTACTCGTTACGGAATCTTAGGTGTCAAAGTGTGGATTTCATATAGTAAAAAAAGGCAAGTCTCCAAGAGAAGTTATTCTCTCTCATGATTACAGAACGAAATCTGGAGAAAATAATGGAACTCTCGCCTTACCAGCATATCCGGGAAGAGGCGGAACTACACGAAAACTTTCTTTATGGATAACCAATTACAAATTTATGGTGATCCGACATACTCTGATTTTCAGTTTATGGAAACTACTTCTTTTTTTCCTTCCACAGGAAGGGTCGATATCAGTTCTTCTACTATGTCGGAAGCGGAAAGTGCTTCCCCAAATTCTGATCAATTGTTTGATCAAATTTGTGTTGAATACAGCAAGTTGGTCCAGGAAAATGGGAAGGTATTACCTACGGAATGGAGTATGCCTGACCTTGTTCGGACCATCTTTTCGGGTGAACATCTTAACCACGACTTTCTGGTATATGCCTACTATGATGTCGTGTTATGTGGCACTCGTAGTTGGGGAGGCGAGGAACTCCTCAATTTGATTGATCTAATCACCTATACATTTTAAAAAATGTATGTGTGATTAGGGTAGTCTTTCTTCTGATCAATTATGCTCCACCTATTTGTTAATGAATAGAATCCCTTTTTTCTTTTGAATTACTCAACCCTTCTACGTTCCCGAAATGGATCCTATCAAATATTTTACATTTTCTATGATCATCTCTATTTCAGGTATTCGGGGAATCCTCCTTAATAGACGAAATATTCCTATTATGTCAATGCCAATTGAATCAATGTTATTAGCTGTGAATTCGAACTTTTTGGTATTTTCTGTTTCTTTGGATGATATGATGGGTCAATCATTTGCTTTATTGGTTCTAACGGTGGCAGCTGCGGAATCCGCTATTGGGTTAGCCATTTTCGTTATTACTTTCCGAGTCCGAGGGACTATTGCTGTAGAATTTTTTAATAGTATTCAAGGTTAAAGATGACTCCTAGAGAGTTAACAAAATACGAAGGTCTCTTCTCTTTTTTCTTTTGATTTGGTTAGCAGGGTCAGGGCCTTTCTCGCTGGGCGAGCGCATCCGATTTGAAAGTCCTTTCCTAAACCACTTCCCGTTCAGTTGCTGAAAGATAGAGAGAGAAGGCTTTCTAAATGATATTGAGTTCCACGAATATGCAGGCTAGAAAAATGCTATTTGCTGCTATTTTATCTATTTGTGCATCAAGTTCAAAGAAGATCTTAATCTATAATGAAGAAATGATAGTAGCCGCTTGTTTTATAGGCTTTATTATATTCAGTCGGAAGAGTTTAGGTAAGACTTTCAAAGAGACTCTCGACGGGAGAATCCAGGCTATTCAGGAAGAATCGCAGCAATTCCTCAATCCTAACGAAGTAGTTCCTCCGGAATCCAATGAACAACAACGGTTACTTAGGATCAGCTTGCGAATTTGTGGCACCGTAGTAGAATCATTACCAATAGCACGCTGTGCGCCTAAGTGCGAAAAGACAGTGCAAGCTTTGTTATGCCGAAACCTAAATGTTAAGTCAGCAACACTTCAAAATGCCACCTCTTCCCGTCGCATCCGTCTTCAGGACGATTTAGTCACAGGTTTTAACTTCTCAGTGAGTGAAAAATTTGAACCCGGGTCTACGTTGAAAGCTTCTATAGTAGAACTCATTCGAGAGGGCTTAGCGGTCTTAAGAATGGTTCGGGTAGGGGGTTGTTCTAAAATAAAGTGAAAATGCCTAATATATGGACTATTCTATGTTATCTATTTTTGCCTCCTAAATTCATATATAGAATAGAAATTTTTCGTTTGCTTTGTAAATCACTGGGAAACGCTCTTCAGGGTTGTGAGGAGGACCCTATTCCTAGAGATTTGTTAGCGCGAGGGGGTGGTATGCGAAACGCCTTTATGCTATGTATTTACTGTACCGCCTGCTGGTGGACCGTTATGATGTTCGGAAGGAAGGAAGGAAGCGGAGCTATAAGAATAAAGAAGACAAATAGAATAAAATGAATGTTCATGCTAAGAGAAGAGCGGATCCAATACCAAGACTTTTTCTTCGTTATCACCTTTTACTCAGCGTCGGTGCTGCTTTGAGATTCTTCTATTGTCTAATCCTTATTTGTTTGCATGTGTTCGGCAGTGATGGTGTCTTTGAGTGGGGGGAATCGTGGTCCTTCTTTTTCTATGCCTTTACCGGCTAAGCGATCACAATTCCGCTGAACAGGGGAAACATTTTCCTTAAACCTCCATTTCCGATGCTTTGAAAGGTATATGTATCCCACACATCGCTTCTACTACCTTCAATATCTAACTCGTGTTAAAAGGCTCCATTCAGGTCTTATAAAAGAAACTTTCTTGAGAGCGTCTTTAAATCAGAATTCGAAGGGTGGCCCTAATCAGGAATCTATGCGAGTGTTTTCAACCCCCTTGAAGAATTCCTACTATTAATCCCTCTGAAAACGAGGGAAACTGCGGCTGTTGAGGGATCTAGCATGGCTATCTATTGGTGCTCTCGGCACAGTAAGTCTCGCCGGTTGATCCAGCATTCTCTAGCTTCCATTTTAGTTCCATAGCCCAGTGTAGTTCCAGCCGATCCAGCCGTTGATCCTGCAGCTTATCCAAATAAGAACCGGCGAAAAGAGGTAGATCCAGAGCCACCGGATGGAGATTCGTATCCATAGTAAGACCCTGTTCCTTATGTTCGTGATGATCACGGGGGAGATGAACCTGAAGCTCAAGATGATGCAACTAATGATGAGGCTCCTGTTAATGAAAATTTGGATCAACAAGCACAAGCTGAACAGGTACCTCCACCACCCAATTGACCTCCACATCAGCGAAGACCTCCAATTCTGGATAACATTTCCCGCTCCTCGGATCGTACCACGGCTCTGGAAAACCACATAAAGGAAAATTGGAACCTTCTCTTTTTTAAAAATTGCCATTCTTTTGGAATATGGGGGCAAACCCTCTTCTCTCTTTCGCCCATCTACCTAGGCAGCCTTGTCTTCTTCAGTTGGAACATAACCCAGCCTATAAGTTGCCTTGTGATTCACAAAGTTTGGTGACCCCTTGCTCTTTCTCCCCCCAAGCCAAGTCCAGGGAAATGTCCCATCTCTATATGAGCCACGTAATGATTTGCATAGGATAAAAATAAAGGGGGCACCCTTTCTATAGCATTAACAAACTGGAACCCGGTTAGATTAAATCCTGCATTGTCATCCTTCACCTCGAAGAAAGTTGTCTCCCTATCAGCATCTCCATGGATAGTAAGAATTCCCCCATCTCTTGGCATCTTGATCTTTTGTTGTAACGAAGAAGGAACAGCACCCAAAGGCATGGTTACATGGCCTACCCAGTAACAGATTCAAAGAAGCAGGGATATCTAGCACATGGAATTAAATATTCGCAACCACTGGTCTTCACTCAACCCTCGACCGCTTCGTAGCCTCTTTCTAGGCGGCGTTTGACTTCTTCAAAGACGAAAGACAACCGGAGTCTTTGCTCCCTGGATAAGTCTCATTCGATGTCGCAACCGATGCTTAAAAGATCTTCTTCTATCTTCTCAGTCTTCGATCGATCATTCTCTGCTTCATAGAGGAGGGGGTTCCCAGCTAACAAGGAAGCGGGATTTAAAATGGAGGTCAATTCTAAACTGGACCGAGATGGCCTGAAACGAAGTAAACTCACTTGGCTTAACACAGGGCGGCAGAGCAGGACTTCTTTCTGCTTTGAATATCGTACTTTTATTCGAGCTAAGCAAGGGCAAAAAAAAGGTGTCGATTTCAATGGACGTCGTAGAGCTCAAATCTCTTTTCAACTCATTTGACCGAGAAAACAAAACTGGCACGCAAGTTACTTTATTAAATTAAGGAAAAGGGGTTGAAGCCATAACGACGGGGTTGGCTGCGCGTGAATTGAATGTCTATCGCTCGTACCCAAGGTTGGATTGCCTCGGGGAGTAGAAAGAGTCTATCCTTCTTATTGATAGCATTGGTCTCGGAACGCCCCTCGCTGGGCAAGTTCACTCTTTCTGCCGGGGAAAGAAGTCGAATTTGGGAAGGTGTGGTATAGTTGATCACTTCAGCTCCTGTTGAAGGCCTACGCGCTGCTAATGCCGAGATTCGGCTTTTTTTCCATAAATGTTGATATAAGAACGATTGGAAACCGATTGATCAAAGAGCTTGATTCGCTTACGGAGTAAGGAGTAGGGGATGGGGGTAAAGGAGAGAGAAGACCTGGTCGGGTATGACCATCTCTCACTGAAGGAAAGGGAATAGGTTAGAGAACAGAAGTTAGGGACGGTTACGAGTGCCTGTTGTGCTTCTTATGAGTCGGAGAAGAGTAGATTAGTAGCCCGAGCGAAAGCTCCAAAACCGAGTCCGTGCTCTTTCAGTAGTGTTGGTAAATATCCATTCTTCCTTCCATCCCTCATCTCTCTACAATTATATGCTTCAAGCTCGTACCTTCGCATCTCCGATAACAATCTCGTTACCCAAGATAGCATAGGCAGTAAACCCAGATCAACTAACTCAGTACTCAACCACAAGGTGTTGTGGTGTGCTAGAGTGAAGATTGTCCAGGAACCTTAGAAAGCAAGTGCTTGTTCCATGCCGAACGCCACCAAACAGTAACCTTCTCGGCGATGGGCCTTAGCTCTCAACATATCGGCTACAAGCCCAGAGCCCGCCCAAGCTGCTGCAAGAGCTGAGCCGAATACACAGGCTCGGCAGGTGGCTGGGAGGATCCATTTCTTGTTCTTCGCTCATTGAAGAACCCCACGTATGGCACGAGTGAGGTTAGCCATCGGTGACCGGCTCAATGAGCCTCCTTTGGACGAGAGTTTCTCGATCAACTAGGATTCACTGATAGCGGAATTCAAAAGGCTAACGAAAGGATATCCAGAAAGCTTGCAGAACTACGAAGCCCCGAAACTCTACTTTTAATGCCCAAAGATCTGCCCGAAGGGACCCTTTTGAGTCATTATTAAATGAGTTCAGTTCCCAGAGCAGAGTTATCGAAATTGAACTCTTTTCCTTTACGTCGTAAAGAGAAGCATGTGCCTTCCACCGCACGTATAGCTGGGCTTTAATAAAGAGAAAGAAGGCATCAGGCAGCAAGCGGAATAGCTATTATAAGATGAGATGAAGCTACAGCTTTACTGTAAAATAGATATCTCTTTGCTCTTCAGCCGGGAAGTCCGAAAGCTAGTAAGTTGTAGGATAGGCCAGTCACCAGCAGTTCTAGTTTTGTTAATTGGGAGGACAGCCCGGTGTTGAGACCTTCTCTTCTCGGCATGATCCAGGAGTGAAAGCCACTTGCCCTAATCAATAAGCGGGAGAGGAGTGAAAAGCTAGCGGATCAAATCATGGATTCTCATTCCGGAGAGGGAAGTTAGTCGGTTGGTTAAAATGCGGTTATGCCGGATGGACTAAAGTAAAGTGGGAGGTGCGAATAGACTAGTTGTTAAGTTGTACCACCGGGTCAGCTAGCTCTTCTGGTAGGGCTGCTCGGCTTGCAGCTGTTGCATCTCTTTCTTGTAGCTAGGGCTGCTCAGTCAGGTAACTGGCATTCCTTAGCTAAAGAAAAGCAAGGGTCGGATTGTCAACTAAGGCACCTACTTAGGGCAAGGCAGAAGCGAAGGGCGGAAGACTGAGTTCATCGAAAGCCGATCCAGGGGGCCCTAACTATTCAATTAGCTTGTTTGGATGGAATCAGGGACATAGTGTTCCCATAATCTTCCTCATAGGAAGGGAAGAAACCTCTTGGCTGGCAATCTAATTGGTAGAGATCCTTGGAGGTAGGCAGCAGTTCTTTCGACAGCTAGAAATTGACAGGCTTTTTTCGATTCCGCGCACGAGTCAATTATAACTTCTGAAATTTTTGACCACAATGAATCCTAACCTCAAAGGTGCTTTGAAGTGAAGCCACTCTTCTAAGTTTTCACAACTCTGCTCTTTTCAGGTGCAGATGAATAAGCGATGTGATGTTATCAACTTAAGAAAAAGATGTTATTTTAAATAAAAATTCCTGTGACCCGACTGAGGGGAAGAAAGTTAATAAGTATACTGTTCGAGAATCCGTTCCTTCCGTATTGAAGTGAAGAATGGAAAAATGGTGCTATCGCCTATCATATAGTCGATCAAGGCTCCTTTTAGCGGACATTGCTTCCACTTGAATCGAGATTGGCATTGGCTGGGTCAGCTGTATACTATCTAGGTACTCGGTAGAAGATCTCCAATCATTAGCTCTTTGTCAGTTAGAGCAAAAGCTGTTACAGAAGAAACTGCTATTGGCCTGGGCTTGGCTAGACTGCTTTGAGCTTGAACGTGAGTCGGTAGAGAGGCTCTTCTTGAAGAAGTTGCCGATGGTGCTATCGTATTAGAAGTAATTGGCTGATCCAGTCTTCCTTTCCGCTCCGCCCCTTACCCTATTGGAATAAGAAAGACTAGAATCCTTTAATTGAACCCTCACTATAACAGGAACTAGAAAAATAGGATTAAGTACGCTTTGTCCCTTAACTGCTGACAGCAATTAGAAAGTAATCCCGGGCCGGGTTTGTCTCGTGAAAAGCATCATTTATGGATAGAAAATAGTAAGCCATTTGCCGACAAGCTCTTACTGCTCTCTAGCCATTTATTACCAGAATGAATGTCCGAGGAAGGAAAAGCAGGCAATGAGTAGAAGGAGTATGCTGCCCACTTAAGAGGACAGAGGAGAGATGTCTAT